CTTGTCCTATTGGCGGTCGCCTCACTGGAGAGTGAAGTAGAATAGCTGGACAGTCAGCCACCTCTCGTTAAACCTGCAACTTTTTAAGATGAAGAAACATGCAGGAAATTTCTCTGACAGTTTAGTGTGTCTTTGCGTCGCAGGTTCTGAAGATGTTTTGTCCTCGTTGGCTGGAAGACTTTTCCTTAGCGGTGCTGGTGATGAGATACATTTAAACCAAGGAGCGAGTGGCTTATTTGTAATTTCTTGACAAAGTGATCCGGATGTTGCAGTGGAGGTGGAGCGCCTGTTAAGTTTTATATCAGAAGTTGGAGGAATGTTTGAACCAGCTCGCCCCTTTTGGATGAAAGTGATACAGTAGAGCATCCAGACACATCATAGCCACTTACAATCAGTTTTTGCTGCTCCACTTGAAAACACTTTTAAATGTCTTGTAGATTGGGTGTGGATTGCTCATTAAGATTTTTGATTTAAATATATATAATGCAGATGTTAACCAGAGAGATATTTCCCATCTGGAAGTAAGAAGCAAACCACAGACAATTGTTCCTAGAGCAGTGCTTTTGCAAGTTTTCTTCCCATCCCCTTTCTTAGGGTTCTAGTGCTGGTATCTTGCAAAGATAAGAGGCAAAATTGCGATTCTTTCTTGTTCCTCATTTACCCTTAATAGTAGTTTCTTCAGTAGGTCTCAAAATTGTACTGGAAGTTTTCTTTGAGATAGTGGGTAAATTTTAGTGTGATTTCTTCTTGCATCTATAGACATCTTTCATGAGTGTCGGTGTCCGTTTGGATCCTCATCGTTTTTAGCAGCATTAGTCTCCTCCACCTCCTGTCAACATCGTAATCTAAATGTATTTGATTCTAACTGTAACTTAGAAAAGTTGGAGTTTATTGTGTCTTTGTGCCCCATAGTCTGAAGAGGCATCACTAGCAGTCATCGTGAGGGAGATTATAGGCAACAGGTGGACTCCTAGGGTTTACACACTTACAGCTTAAGTTCATTGGCAGTGAGAGAAGGATGTGTGTTTTAAATACCTCAGTTCTATAGCCAGAAAGCTGTACTGAAAACAGGTTTGCCTAAGTATGCACATAGATGCAAGGCGGTTTAACTAATGAGCTAAGTTTATGAATAATGCATCTTTAAGAAGATCAGCTGGTCTCTGAAACAGTGTGCTTTTTAAAGAGTTAGCTGACTGGAGGTTACAGAATGATTTACTGTACGGAATAAAATTGCTTGTAGCCTTGAGGTAGATGAAATGCAGTTGCATGGTGAGAAAAAGAAAAAGATGAAAAGAAAAACATTCAAGTCATAAGATTGTTCCAAATAAAATGGGCATATTTCTAAAAAGTTCTTCATTGGGGAATGTGGAGATTGAGGATGCTTCTTTGTAGGGAAGTGATAGTGTTATAAAACAGTCCTTAGTGCAGGAGAATTGAGAAAATAATTTCAAGACAGTTTCTGCAAGGGTAACCTTTAAATGTAAACCTGTGAAATATAGATTCTGATAAGATTCCCCTGTTATTACAATGTAAATTCTATGTATAGAGTAAAATAAATAAATAAAAATTTAACAAAGATTCCTTTACTAAACAGAAGTTGGGATTAGGGCTTCCCAGAATCCACTGTGCTTAGAATCTTGGAAGGGACCTTGGGAAAAAAATCTCACTTTATAAACTAGTCACAGAAAGAGAAACAGCTGCCCAGAGCTGCTCAGCTGGATGCCCTGTCAAGTTCTCACAGTAACACCTGATAGACAATTCCTCTAGGCTTGTACTCTATAGCTAAAACAGAACAGTGTGGGCTGGTTAAGGGTCCTGTACTGAAACCTAGGGAGGAGGTCTATGTCCTGCAAGACGATTTCCAATGCCTGCTTCTCCTAGCAGCAGAGTTACAGGAGTGACTTGGAAGTGCATGTTCTGACCTGGTTGGACCAGGTAGAAGAGAATTGGCAGCCCACAGATGGGAGGAAGATTCTCTGCTTGTTTTGCCTGCATTTCACATCAAGTGGAGCTGTAAACATGCTTTGTGTTTAAATGATAGAACCCTGTGAAGCCTTTGCTGCTGTTCCTGATGTAATCCACTTGTGTCAAGTGGGTTTCAAGGTACTTGTCAGCTGGAAAGTGTTCCTTGTTGGCCTAGGAAGGGCATGTATGGCCAGTAATAGTAGTGAATTAATAGATTTATAGGACTCCTTTTCAGGTGTGGAAAGGGACTTTCATTTGTGAACAGCTGTACTTAAAATACATTCATCAATGTCATCCTCTTTTATCTGAATAACAGAAAGATTTCCAAGGACAAAAACAATGGACATCTGCAAAAATGTGTGACTTGAACTCGAGTCCTCCCAAGATTTCTCCCTTTGATTTAATTTTCTCTTCACCTTAATTGATTGACTAAATGAATCTTTGTTCATGAGGGAAGTGCTCGGGAGACAAAGCACTGATATACAGAAAAAGACGTTTTAAAGATATAGCACTTGAGTTTTTGCCTTAAAAGTTCAGGTTAACTACTCAGTTTTCTACTTACTAGATTTTATGTAAAAACAAGCAACAAAAATCCCTGTGATGAGGATTTTTGCTCCTTTCTTTTCTCTAAGGGATTTGTTGGCAATCTGCCCGTTGTTGAGTAGGTTTGAATCCAATCAATCTGCTGGGTGAGGTTTCCTTGGGGTTTCCATGTTGCTCGTAGTGCATTCAGACTTTAAACCAGTCATGGTACAAAAAATGAGACTTTTTAACATGGTAAGATAAAGGGATTTATAGGAATACGTTTATTTTGCAGCTTTTGTAGCTCTGTATTTTATAATGCTTGTTCATTAAGGAGGATGGAAGAGTGAATTTTAAACTTTTTGTTTCTTTCAAGATTTAAAATTAACATGTGTGAGAGAGTATGAGATCCTGTATTTCTTCCTTGATAGAGAACTTGGCTCTTTCTGGATTTAGTAATGGTTTATGGGGCATTGCTGAGGGCCTCTGGACCTGGTCTCACACCACACTGGTGGTCCCATTCCAGAAGATCCCTGCTCATGTGCTGAGGGCTCAAGGAGGCACTGGGCGCTCTGATAGGAAGTCTCAGAGGAGGATGTATGGCCAGTGTGTGGTCAGCTGCCTGTGCTCTCTCTCTGCCCACTGTCCCCCGGCTCCTGGACCAGTCCATTGAGGACTGATGTTATCTGCAAGAGTGGGAGTGGAGTATGCAAGATTCTCGGGGTTTCCATGGCTTGAAACCATCTTCAGTCTTTCTTTTTTTCCTTCATTTTCCTGACTGCAGCCAGGACTTTGAATGTATGGATTTTTTGCTCATTTTTTCTTTTTCTTTTTCAGCTCAAATTAAAGACAAACTGTATCCTGCTTCCCTCTGTAAGCAGCATCTACTTGTGTAAGAGCTCAGTCATGCAGCCGCCGCCCCAGGCGGTCCCATCTGGTGTGGCTGGACCACCTCCGGCTGGGAATCCTCGGACCGTGTTCTGGGCTAGCAGCCCCTACAGGAGACGGGCCAACAACAGTGCACAGGCAGCTCCAGTAACCTGCCCTCTGCAGCCAGTAACGGACCCGTTTGCTTTTAGTAGACAGGTCCGCCAAAGTACACCATTGGGCAGTTCGCCCAAAAGCAATCCGCCCATCTTGCAAGGCCCAGCCTCTCCTGGATTTTCTCAGCACCCTGATTTGTCTGTGCCTCACACAGATGCCAGAGATAGCTCCCAAGGACCCTGCGAGCCTCTGCCAGGTCTTCTGATGCAGCCCAGAGCAGATGCTGGTCTGTTTTCTGGTACACTGACCCCGTCAGCGCTGCCTGGGCCTGAGGTGAACAGGAGTGCAGAGGTTGGTCCCAGCTCAGAGCCCGAAGTTCAGACTGTGCCGTATCTGCCTCATTACATTCCAGGAGTGAGTCCCGACACGCCTCATGGGAGCCATCCACGTGGGCACTTGCCTGGGCCTGACCGACCCCTGAGTAGGCAAAACCTGCACGATGGTGTGATGCTCCCAGCAGCATCCCCGCTCTTTCCCCAGCCGCGTCAGCAGATGCCGGGTCAGTGGGGGCTGGTGCAGGGAAGCCCCCAGCCCTCAGGACAGCATCATGGACCATGCCTGGAAGGACCTGTTCAAAGCACGGTGCCTACCACCAGCATTCCCCATTTCCCCGCTCTGTCCAGCCCACATCAAGGTCCTGGCCATGAGCAACACAACCCACTAGTGTCTCTCCCTGCACCCTTGGCCAGTGACAGAGGAAATGAGGTGGCCTACCTGCAAGGTGGAGGCCACTTGGTGAATAACTTGGATCCTGAAAATGCATTCAGGCACAATCCCCAAGTTGGAAATACCTGGGCAAGCCAGGAGTTAAGGCAGACTCCAGAGGCGAACAGAGAGCACTGGCCAGTCCCTACTCTCATGAACCCGTCCGCTCAGGGAGATAGCCCAGAAAACCACACACCCCGTCCCCCGGGGGCTGGGGCCAGTCATACCTTGCCGGATGCAGACTCGGGGTCTCTCTCTATGTTCTTCCAAGGCGGAGAGACAGAAAATGAGGAGAATCTCTCTTCTGAAAAAGCAGGCTCTGCTGGGAAATCAGACTTTGATGGTTTCTCCTCCAGTCCTGGACTGGGTCGTCTACCCCCACCCACACTCGTAGGGGCAGGCAGTGTCTACCAGACCTTTGTCACAGGCTCCAACAGTGAGACCACACTGCCAGAAGGAGACACACCACCTTATTTTTCTCAGTCTGGGGGCACCCAGCATGAGAAACAAACCACTAACCGTGCTGCTAGTGACGCGTGGGGCGACGTGGCCGGTGCGGTGACTCAGGACACCAGTAGCTCACAGTATGAGAACATTGAGAACCTAGAATTTGTTCAGAATCAGGAAGTCTTGCCAAGTGAGCCCCCGCATTTGGACCCTTCCTCTTCGAGTGACCATTTCAGATATGGAACCCTCCCTGGGCCAGGTATTCCCAGACACGGTGCATTGGGCCACACTGGAGCCCCTGAAGTGGCGCCGCACCCAGTGCGATCTGACAGCATGTCATCCAGCCATAGCAGCAGAAGCCACGGGAGGCTTCCAGGCTCAACCAGGCCCCAGGAGCTGGTTGGCACATTTATTCAGCAAGAAGTGGGCAAACCTGAGGAGGAAACTCCAGGAAGTTTTTTTAAGCAGATCGATTCTTCTCCCATAGCGGGAGAGACAGATGAGACCACTGTGAGCCAGAATTACCATGGCAATGTATCCCAGCCCTCAACCCCAAGCCCCCCGAAGCCCACAGGCATATTCCAGACAAGCGCAAACAGTTCTTTTGAACCGGTAAAATCCCAGTTGGTGGGGGTGAGGCCAGTTGAGGCGGATCGCGCTAACTTGGTAGGAGAAGTGAGGGAGACCTGTGCCCGGCAGAAAAAGCACACACCAACCTCTACCATGCCTGACGCATCCCCGGGCAACCTGGAACAGCCGCCAGACAACATGGAGACCCTCTTTGCACCTCAGGTCTGTCCTTTGCCGCTTACCACTGCTGCCGAAGCTGGGTACATGCTTCCGCATGCTGGGGGGCCGCCTTTGGATACTGTGTATCCGACACCAGAGAAGAGGCCCTCTGCCAGGGCTCAAGGGGCTGTGAAGTGTGAGAGCCCGGCCACCACCCTGTGGGCACAGAACGAGTTGCCAGATTTTGGAGGCAACGTCCTTCTGGCCCCTGCAGCTCCGGCACTTTATGTGCCTGCAAAACCTCAGCCGGCAGAAGTTGTTCAGCCTTCAGAAGAGGCGGCGTCTGCACAGGCATCATGGAAGCCAGGCTCAGCCCCACCCCTGCAGGGCCGGGCTGGCGTTGGTGCTTCTGAGAACCTTGAGAACCCTCCCAAAATGGGAGAAGAGGAGGCCCTTCAGTCGCAGGCAAGTTCTGGTTATGCGAGTTTATTGTCCTCACCGCCCACTGAGTCTTTGCAAAATCAGCCGGTCTTGATTGCCCAGCCTGATCAAAGCTATAATTTGGCTCAGCCAATTAATTTCTCTGTGTCCTTATCGAATCCTAATGAGAAGAATCAGTCCTGGAGAGACACTTTGGTGGGGGACAAATCTCCAGTAAGCGGTCGGGCTCTTGGTGGTGATTCTGGGGAAAACGTTCCTTTGCCTGGAATTCCTACCAATTCCATCACTAGCTTGTCGCTGCCTAGCAGCCTTGTCCAAAGTAATTTTCCACAAGGTTCTGGTACTTCTGAAATGGTTTCTAACCAGCCTGCCAATCTGCTGGTTCAGCCACCATCCCATCTAATTCCAAAGAACTTGGTTCCAGAAAGTCAGAAGAACTGCAATGCAGAAAACGCGCTTCCTGAGTTTGTGAATAGTCCTGCTGGAAGCATGGGTGTGGTGCTGGTTCCACCTGCAAACAGTACCTTGGTGCCTAGTAGTAACAAGGCGCATCACCCTGCTACCTGGGAAGAAACTTATGGAGCCCTAGATTTTACCTTAAACAGGACCTTGGAGAACACCGTAAGGATGTATAGCCCACCACATTCTGATGGCCCAGCTCAGCACACTGCTGCCAATCCTCCCAGACAGTCCGGGTCTGGGATGCATAACCCGGACTGTTTCTATCAGCAGGTCACAAAGGATGTGCAGGAGCCACGTGGCCTAGAACGAACGCAGCAAGAGCTGAGGCCTCCTCAGCAGCAGGCTTCTCCCTCACAAGTGCCCAAAGCAGTGCCATCAGAACCTTCAAATCCAGAAAGCCCGCCAGCACAAGGACAGCCCCCAGACGCAGCCCAGCCCCCAGCGAGTCTGGCTCCCACTGACACGGGCCAGCAGCTGCCTCGGCCTCCACAGTCCTCCAGCTCCTTGGTGTCCACCAGCTCCAACCCGGCAGCTGTGTCGTCCGAGCTGCAGTGGCCCCAGCCAGCACCTCCACACACGTTGGGCCTGCCGCCCCAGGACCTGGCGTCCTACTACTACTACAGACCTCCGTACAATGCCTACCAGTCACAATACTCCTCGCTCTACCCGGTGGATCCCGGGGCGGCTTCCCTTTATTACCAGGTAGGGTTGTCTCTCGCACTGGTCTCCTTACTCTGACCAGCCAGGGTTCTGTCTCTCATGGCAGTTCCTTGGTAGTGTTCTGTTGCTTAATTCAGAAGTCACTTGCAGTCACGCGGGCAGGTAGAAGCCAGTTCTAAGGCAAAACCCCAGTCCCAGTAGCACTCCTGAGCAGAGTGCTCCCTGGTCCCAGAGCTTGTTCTGCTCAGCATGGGCCACCTTGTAGAAGTTCATGCCATGTGTTAACACGTTGAGTTGCTGATAATACCCGCTTAATTTTTGTTTAAACCATAAGCCTCCTCCCAACTTATAAGACAAAAAGAGCCCTTTGTCCTGTAGCACCTGTTGGCTCTCTACAGAATTAAGAGTTCTGTGGTGCATGCTTGAGAATCTAGGATAGGCTCTGGAAGCTTTCCTGTGGTTTTGACATAGAAAAACTAACATAAGAAACAACGAGAACAACCGTAGAACCTAGATTCCTCGAGAATGAGAACGCTGGAGGAAGAATGAGGTTTGGAGCAGTATCCACATGCAGCTGCTGCCAACCAGGGTTTCCTAGGCCTCACCCAGCCATGGGCGATGCCTGCAGCAGCATGGGAAGACCCTGAGTGTTAACACAGAAGGTTCTTTGCCTCCTTTCACAGCGATGCAAGATCGGGAACGTTGTTTAAATCAGGTTCAGTTGGATCTTGCAGGTTTGAGAAAGCGTAGTCTGTGTGGACACATGGTCATTGTCTGCTTTTCCTCACCTCTAACCCAATTCAGCATCCCCCCAGGTAGAAGGATCATGTAATAGGAAGTTTGAAAGCCACAGCCTTGCGGTGTTTGGAGCGGTCGGACCCAGACTTAGGACCGCATGGCAAGGCCTCAGGTCAGAAGGGCCTGGGGTGCAGGACTGTGGTGCCAAGCACAGCCTGAGGCCATGGGGCCTGGCCCTCGTGGGTCTTGAGCATCATGGATCCTGGGTGTGAGGACAGTTATGTATCTTTTTTTCCTCAAGTCAGTCTCACTCTGTCACCCAGGCTGGAGTGTAGTGGCTTGATCACGGCTCACTGAAGCCTCAACCTTTTGGGCTCAAGTAATCCTCCAGTCTCAGTCTCCTAAGTAACTGGGACTACAGGCATGTGCCACCATGTCTGGCTAATTTTTTAATTTTATTGTGGAGGCACGGTCTTTCTATGTTGCTCAGGCTGATCTCGAACTCCTGGGCCCAAGTGATCTTCCCGCCTTGGCCTCCCAAAGTGTTGGGATTACAGGCATGAGCCACTACCCCTGGATGACAGTTACATATCTAACCTCCTGCGGTCCTGTGAATCCTAGATTTCGGAAGGAGACAATAATACACTTTTATTTCCACACCAGCAAGTTCAGCTCTGCTTTGGGCCCTGGGGGAACAGCAAAGTGAGGGGAGCCATGCCCTCACTTGAGATCCTTTGTACGGAATTGTAGCCATGAACACAGCCTCTCTCTTATGAGCGTACACCCTTCTGCCTGCCTTTTGCTACTGTTGTGTATAGTACAGTAGTGGGCAAGAATGAATCCATCTTTCCACGATTTCACATCATCTACCAGGTTATGGTGGAGAGTCGAGGCTTTCAGCCATGTAAGGATGCATTCTGACTTGTGCCTCATCTGCCTTCAGGTCTTCATGGGTTCACTTGGGCCCTTTAGAGACAGCTCTGTGGCCATGAATTGGTTTGTGCTGGGGCTGAAAGCCTCGTCAGAGTAAAACGGGACCCTCTTTCTTGGCTGCCTGTAGCTTGGAGCTTGATTCAGGTGAACCTGCTTCTTCTGCTTAACTGAGGTGGCATCTGAAGCAGGAAGCAGGTGTTGTTCAACTCATGGCACCTGTACACTAGAGACATCAGGAAGCAGAAACCCACAGCCCCTTGGGATCACCTGCTGATGCTCCAGGGCCCTGGGCCATCCAGGCGGTCCCCTGTGCAGGCCAGGGTTGTCAGTTGGAGGAAGAGCTGTCGCCTACCTGCTGGTGTGGCCTGCTGGTTGTAGCGTCTGCTGTTTTGCATGACAGAGTTCCCCGTCTAGCTTGACTTTGCAAAGCAGTCCTCTGTGATGTCATAGCTCAAGCAGGTTGCGTGATGAGTTCCTCTGAGTTGGTATCTGATATTTTCGAAATGCTTTCTCTGCAGGATGTCTACAACCTCTATGAGCCCCGATACAGGCCCTATGATGGCACCGCATCTGCATATGCTGAGAACTACCGCTACCCTGAACCTGAGCGGCCCAGCTCCCGTGCGAGTCACTGCTCCGACCGGCCACCTCCCAGGTGGGGCTGTGTCTATGCTGGCTGCTTCTCGTACACAGACTGATGTCTGTTTTGCTGGCAGTGGTGGTCACTTAACGATTTGGAAAATTACCTGTTTGTAAGAATTATACAAACCTATTTTTTTCATCCCTATGCTTACCTGGGGAAAGCCTCTTGAGTACATGTTTATGTTTTGTCAGTAGGGACAGACTGCAGGATATCATTTTAAATGGAATTAAACACACTGGCAGTCACAAGCTGTGCCAGTCAGGTAGCCTTTGACCCTACCTAGTCAGGCCAGACAGAGTACAGGGCCACGGAGAGGCGATTTCTGGCTTGTGACATTTCCCCCTCAGGATGGGGGTGAATGTTCCTGGCGCTAAGACCCATGTGTTGCTCTGGCAGTTTGCTAATGGGGTGTCCAGGGTTCTTAGACTATGGCAGCTTTTAACTGGTACAGGCTTTTTCCCACCACTGGGGCTCCAGAGGCCTCGAACTGGGCCCAGAGGTGGTATTGTTCTTAGGCCCATCAGGCGGCTCCAGAACACAGTGTTCTCTTCCAGACATCCCCTGCTGGAAGGCTGGCACATGTCAGTGGGCTGCTTGTCTTTCGTGCTGGCCACCAAGTCTGTATTGGCAGTTCCAGCAGAGGGCTGTGGAGAGCTCATGGCATCATGCAGTCAGCTGAGTAAGCCTTTAAGCCAGGTCAGAGTTCTCCTGTGTTTCCGGTTGTGCCTTCTGCTCAGGGAAGCTGGCAGAGCTGGAATGAGTATCATGTGGATCCCGGCAGCCGTGCCCACCTTCTAGAGTGCTGGCTGCACTCGCGGCTTCTCTCATACTGCTGCCATTTTTTTTGAGTTGGAGTCTCACTCTGTTGCCCAGGCTGGATGCAGTGGCACATTTACGGCCACCCTAGAGTCGACCTGCTGGGCTCCTGCGATCCTTCCACCTCAACTTTCCAAGTAGCCAAAACTACAGGCATGTGCTACCACGCCCGGCTAATTTTTTTTTTTTTTAATTGTAGAGACAAGGTCTCACCATGTTGCCTAGGCTTGTCTCGAACCCCTGGGTTCAGGCAATCCTCTTGCCGCGGCCTTCCAAAGTGCTGGGGCTGTAGGCTTGAGCCATCGTGCCCGGCCTCACACTGCTTCTTAAACTCCATACCAGAGAAAAATCTAATCATTAGTGCAGACTTTGTACCTGCACTTCTTTTGAAAACTTCCCCCTACTGATTTTGAGGTTTTTTAGGAGCTCATCTAAAGACAGAAGGCTCTGCCCTTGAGCCTCTGTCATCTAGTGGCTCCAGCATACCTGCTCAGGCCCTGGCTGGCCCTTGCAACCGTATACCCTAGGTGCTTTGTAAAGCAGATGACGCTGGTGGCTCTGTCTCTCAGGAGACTCGAGCTGCTGTGTGTCACCCTGTCACCTGGGAAGTGTGGTTTTCAGGTATTCCTGGAGGCCCAGAGAGACAAGGAAGAGCTGGGCTGAGTCTCCTTGCCTTCCGTGTTCCATCTACTGACTGCCTGCAGATTCATGTAGGAGATACTTCGAAAAGGCTAGGGTTAACTCATGATATAGAGGCTGGGCCTCCATTGGGTGGTCTTGTCACTGTAGCCACAGGTTTTTTTCTGCCTGCAGCAGTGTGGATCCTATATCTGTCCTTACCATGTGTTTGTGCAGCTCTGGAGAGTCACGCCCACTCATTTCTTCCAACTTTGGCTGGGGGATACATGCATGTGTATGTTCATTGCTAACACTGACATTCAATACTGCTTGTCCATCTTGGGTCCAGTATGGTCAGATCACTGCAGGAACTGCATACTCATTTTTGTGGTTGTATTGTTCCTGATGAGCAGGGTTGGCGAGGTAAGCTCAGGGCTGGTTTGTTCTTGGTTTTGCGTGGTAGCAGATCATTTTTCTGGAACTTACTACTGTGTAAACTAATGCAGTCTAGAGTAGCTACCCAGCACTGTCAGTGGACGGGGTTCACTACTGTGGCCTAGTAGTGAGATGTGCTGGGGTGAGCTGGTTGGGCCCTCTGCAGCCTGTCAGCAACCCTATCTTGCCCACAGGTGCTATACTAGTCTGGCAGCCATACTCGGCTGAGTGCATGTGCAGTTGTGGTGACATTTCCTGGAGGGACATGGGAAAAGTCACATTTTAAAAATCTAATATTGTATGAAACTTGCACTGGTGGCATGCACCTATAATTCCAGCTACTGGGGAGGCTGAGGCAGGGGGGCCTGAGCCCAGGAATTCAAGGCTGTAGCAACCTGTGATTGCACTGCTGCACTCCAGCCTGGGTAAAAGAGTGAGAGACTCTGTCTCTAAAAAAAAAATCAAAAGACAAAACCTCAAACTTGCTATTACAAAATTTTTAAATGCTCTTTTTTTTGAGCTGGAGTCACACTCCATTGCCCAGACTGGAGTGCAGTGGCTGCTCCCGGCTACCGCAGCCTTGACCTGCTGGGCTCTGGCGATCCTTCTGCCTCAGCCTTCCAAGTAGCTGGAACTACAGGCACACGCAACCATGCCTGGCTAATTTTTTGATTTATTGTAGAGATGAGGTCTCGCCAAGTTGTCCAGGTGGGTCATGAACCCGCAGGCTCAGGCAATCCACTCACCTCAGCCTCCCAAAGCGTGGGATTACAGGCTGAGCTACCGAGCCCGGCTTAAATACTCTTAAGTCCTCTCCAGAATCTTGAAAGTACTAGAAGCTCTGATACGTGATCATTTGGCTAAATTGTGCTTTTTCTGTCATGAGAGTCAGGGTTGTGGTTTGGTCTATGAAGCCCTTGTTTTTAGGGCACGTGTAGAAGTCTGATGTTGTGTTGGCTCCAGGAGACAACGGGGGCCATGACTGTCCTGCTCTGAGAGCACCTACTTAGGCTCCTATGGTGGCACCCATGAGCATGCAGGGAGCAGACACCTAGAAGTCTGGGTCAAGGCTGTGGAAATTGCATGTTAGGTTGGGTGGATGGCTCAGTGTTTTTTTCTGCTAAGCATAACATCAACAAGTTTAGAACCTAGTTTAGTATTGATTTTTATAGAATGCAGCAGCGAGAACACAGAAAGGGTCAGTTCTTTTTGGCTGAACAGCTCTTAAATGGTTATTTAAATGGAATTTTTTATTAGCTGTATGATAGGGAATGCCATAATCTCGTCCTTGTTCCTTTTTTGGTTCTTCTAACTAGAATTTTTGTACAACCCAAGTGCTTTGACAAATACCTGTTGCTTTGGATTTAATATGTATTGGCTGATGTCCTGTCACACTCTAAGAAATAGGTAATTTGTCTGTTAACAGCACTGTGTGTTTTTGCAGGCAGGGGTATCCTGAAGGATACTATAATTCCAAAAGTGGATGGAGCAGCCAGAGTGATTACTATGCAAATTACTACTCCAGCCAGTATGACTACGGAGGTATGTCTGGACATTCTCAGAAACATTAACAGTACATTTCCAAGATGGCTGTGATATGTGTCCCACGAGAAGTGGCACTTGCCGAGTGTTTGCTAGGACACTTTCCCTTTTATTAGTCTCTGTTACATTTTTTTTTGAGTTGGAGTCTCACTCTGTCGCCCAGACTGGAGTGCAGTGGCCGCTCCCGGCCACCGCAGCCTCGACCTGCTGGGCTCCGGCGATCCTTCCGCCTCAGCCTTCCGAGTACCTGGAACTACAGGCACGCGCTACCACGCCCGGCTGATTTTTTGATTTATTGTAGAGATGAGGTCTCGCTGCCCAGGCGGGTCTCGAACCCGTGGGCTCAGGCAATCCACTCACCTCAACCTCCCAAAGGCGCGGGATTACAGGCTGAGCCACCGGCTTCTTTGTTACATTTTTATCCAAGATCCAGAGTAGCCGAAAATACTCTGCATCCGAAAGTAACCATACTGACATTTTTTCATTAAGAAGTTACATCTCAAATATAACATGAACATAGCTTTATCATACTGGCAGTTTTTTTTGGTGGTTTTAGAGGTGCCGGTCCACATGTGACTACTTAAATGTAAATGAATAGAAGTGAAGTAAAATGAGAAGGCAGCTCCTTGGTCCCACCAATCCAGTTTCCAGTGCTCAGTGGTCACACGAGGCTGGTGGCTGCTGTGTAGGACTGGCAGACCTGGATGGTGCCCATCAGGGCAGTGTCCTGGGCACTTCCTGGCACCATGCCTACCTTCCATGTGGCCTGTGTAGCACAGTGGCATGTCCCTGGGAAATGCTGCTGGTGACTCCTGCTTGGCTGTGTCCTCTCCTTGACAGTCCCAGTGGGACCAGCCTTGCCTTCTGCTTCCCAGAGGGCTCTCTTTCCTTTTTAATAGTTATACCTATTTTAAATATAAATTCTGCACATACTTGCTAAAAATGTGATAATGTGCCTTTTTATTGTATTTCTTTTTTAGAGACAGGGTCTTGCTCTATTGTCCAGGCTAGAGTGTAATGGCATGATCATATCTTGTTGTAACCATGAAATCCTGAACTCAAGTGATCCTCCCACCTCAGCCTCCTGTGTCGATGGGCCTACAGGTGTGAGCCACTGCTCCTGGCCTCAGGGTGCCTTTTTAAAGTAACCTTTTAGTATTGAGATTATTTTTTATAACCTTCTGAATTGGCAGGGTATGGTGGCTCACACTTGTCATCCCAGGACTTTGGGAGGTCAAGGTGAGAGGATCACTTGAGCCCAGGACTTTGAGACAAGCCTGACAACATATTGAGACCCTGTCTCTGCAAAAAATTTAAATTAAAATAATTAGCTGGGCATTATGGCACATACCTACAGTTGAGAGACTGAGGTGGGAGGGTCTCTTGCACCCAGGAGTTTGCAGCTGCAATGACCTATGATCATGTCACTGCATGTCAGCCTGGGTAACATAGTGAGACCCTGTCTCTTAAAAAAAATCAAAAAACCTGGACCACATTAGGCAGAAGAAATATTAGTGCAATTAATGGTTGTGGATTAACTATTAAGAAGTAGTTACTGTGGAAAAGAACTTAATAAAGAGATCTTTTAGCATCTTTTCTGAAGATGTCTTGTTTTTAGCCACTTGGATTGAGAGAAGAATTAGCCAGTTGCCATCAGGCAGCTTCTGTATAGAAGGACCAGCTGGGTCTTCCAGGTGTCAGGCTGGTTTTTCAGGAGGGGAGTTTGGTTTCCCAGGGAATCCTTAAAGCATTCTTGAGCTCTGGGTGTGGTAGCTTCTGTAGTGAAATCCAGGGGGAATGTCTTCTTTTGCACATAACATATTAACCCATTCATCCCTCGCTTACAGATCCGGGTCGCTGGGAGCGTTACCACTACAGCACTCGAATCAAGGACCCCCGTACCAGTGACCGGAGGTACTGGTATGACACGGAATATGATTCATATGGGAGAGAGAGCTATGCCTATGGTGACAGGTGGGTAACATGCACCTGACAGAGGAGGGCAGTTGGAAGCCAGAGGGTGCTCTTGCCAATCTGCCCTGTGTCCTTGGGATTTCTTGAAGCCTTGTGGTGGTTTGGGGCTTCTGGGGAGCCCCAGCCTGATGATTTGGTCCCTGTCTGAAAGAGGAAGGGTGGACCTTGCCTTCCTGGAATTTCCAGCTCTTGGGCTGTCGGAACAGAACTGGCCTCAGGGAGTCTGGTTCACTCTTGTCTCATGGTCCCTTCTCATCTGTCACACCCTAAGTCCAGAGAAGTGACTGCCCTCGAGATGCATATGTAGTGTGTTCTCTAAAGCCATGGGTGAGCCGGGCTCGGTGGCTCAGCCTGTAATCCCGTGCCTTTGGGAGGCTGAGGTGAGTGGATTGCCTAAGCCCATGGGTTCGAGACCCGCCTGGGCAGGCGAGACCTCATCTCTACGATAAAATAAAAAAATTAGCTGGGCGTGGTAGCGCGTGCCTGTAATTCCTGCTACTTGGAAGGCTGAGGCGGAAGGATCACCGGAGTCCAGCAGGTCGAGGCTGCGATGGCCGGGAGCAGCCACTGCACTCCAGTCTGGGCAACAGAGTGAGACTCCAACTTAAAAAAAATAAAAAAAAATAAAAAAAATAAAGCCATGGGTTTCGCCCTGGGTTTGGCACACTGTGACCTGCTGCGGTGTCAGCGTGGCTCATGTTCCCAGTGTAAGGACCATGCATGGGGGAGCGTGCTTGGAAGCGTGGGAGGATGGGGAGCAGGACCCACTGGGCTGGTGCTCCAGCAGTTGCACGTCCTGTTGGGAGTGGCCCCCCAAGCTCCTGCTGCTTCCTCTAGGCCTGAGAAATGCGACGACCACTGGAGGTATGACCCTCGCTTCACTGGGAGTTTTGATGATGACCCTGATCCCCCCAGAGACCCTTATGGGGAGGAGGCTGACAGACGCAGCGTGCACAGCGAGCAATCAGCGCGGAGCCTGCGCAGCACCCACAGCCTCCCCAGCCGCCGCAGCAGCCTCAGCTCCCACTCGCACCAGGTGCGCTCAGGGCAGTGTGGGCGGGTCTTGGAGCCATCCCCCTCTTCCGAGAGTCAGAAGTCCTGCTGGTGTTCGTGGGGAGCTAATTCCACCCATCTGCTTTGTTCCTAAGAGTCATATTCACAGAAGTCACAATGTGACCACCAGTTCCTACGAGGCCCCGCCTCCTCCAGGCTCCTTTCACGGTGATTATGCCTATGGCACCTACGGTGGCGCATTCAGCAGTGTCCAGGGCTTCCCGGAGTATGGCTATCCTGCAGATGCTGCCTGGCCTGCGCTGGAGCAAGGTGTGTGCTTGGCAGGGTGGAGGGAGGCCGGGTCGTGCCTGGAGTCCCAGCATTGCTGTGATGGAATCTTTGATGGACAGAGCATCTCCCAGCCTCTCCTCAGTGACAGAGCGTGTCAGGACAGGCCAGTGTCATCCCTCCAACTGCAGGTGGCTCATAGGTCTGAGAGCTGCTCTGTCCATGTGTGCTTTTTTAATTATTTTTTTATTTTTTTGAGTCGTGGTCTCACTCTGTTTCCCAGGCTGGAGTGCAGTGGCACAATCATGGCTCACTGCAGCCTCAGCTTCACAGGCTCAGGCAATCCTCCAGTCTAAGCCTCCTGAGTAGCTGGGATTACAGGTGCGAGCCACTATGCCTGGCTAATTCATGTGTACATTTTTGAAGTGTGACTCGATTGAGTACAGTATCACTTTCAAGCACTTTGGGTGTCACCTGATATCCCCACCCCTGACTCCTGGCTCTGCAGTTTTGGAGGAAACTTCTAATTCCCCTGAGAAGACTCCCATTCCTAGACTTGTCCCACGTGTCACATTCGAATTTCCTCTCCAGAATGTTAGGTTAAATACTGTTTCCTCGAAAACTACAAAAATACATGTATTTGTGACCTGCCTGGGCAACTTGGCGAGACCTTGTCTCTACACTACATCAAAAATTAGCCGGGTGTGATAGTGTGCGCCTATAGTTCTGGCTACTTGGAAGACTGAGGTGGAAGGATTGCCGGAGCCCAGTAGATCAAGGCTGCAGTGACCGGGAGCATGTCACTGCACTCCAGTCTGGGCGACAGAGTGAGACTCCAACTCCAAAAAATATATATGTGTGTGTGTGTAATGTTATTAGATAAAATAGTGAATTTTCTTAAAGTATTAATTCAGTTAAGAATCTCTTTTTGGCCAGGCTCAGTGGCTCAGCCTGTAATCCCAACACTTTGGGAGGATAAGGTAAGTGGATTGCCTGAGCCCGCGGGTTTGAGACCCGCCTGGTCAACTTGGCAAGACCTCCTCTCTACAATAAATCAAAAATTAGCCAGGCGTGGTAGCGCGTACCTGTAGTTCCAGCAACTTGGAAGGCTGAGGCGGAAGGATCACTGGAGCCCAGTAGGTCGAGGCTGTGGTGGCCGGGAAGGTGCCACTGCACTCCAGTCTGGGCGACAAAGTGAGACGCCAACTCAAAAAGAATCTCTTTTTTTGGTCATTGCCTTGCTAGACTCTAGTGTGGCCATGTGCTCTTTGAGCTATGGCTGTTACTGTGCTTCCTGGCTTTGGCCCCTTCCCCACCTTGGGGAGGTGAATCTTCTCTCTCCCTTCTCTTTCTCTAATATACCTTTAAATAAAGTTTGTGTGTGTGTGTGTGTGTGTGTGTGTGTGTGTGTGTGTTTTAAAGCAGGCTTTATTGAGAGGACAGAGAAGCTCTCACAGTGGGAGAGGATCTGAAGGGGTTGCCCCTATATTTTTAAATTTAAAACAAAAACTTTCTTCTTATTTTTTTTTGAGATAGAGTCTTGCTTTGGAGTGCAGTGGCATGATCATAGCTCACTCCATCTTCCATCTCCTGGGCTCAAGCAATCCTGCCTCAGTCTCCTGAGAAGCTGAGATTATAGGCACACATCACCACACCCAGCTAATTATTTTCCTTCTTACCTTAGGCGTTTTGTTCTGTCATTTCTGTTGGGTGTTCTGTGGTCACCACCACCTGAAATTGAGTTTGTAGCTCAGGGACAAAAGACGCGGGAGATGCCTACACTGCCTGACCTGTGAACAGCGCCTCACGGGGTTCCTATGGGAGTTTGTTGGTTGTGGAGGAGAATCACTCTCGTTTTTAATAATTGAAGCATTTTTTTTCTGACATATGGTTAAGCTTTGCTTGTTAATAAGATCTTGAATAGTCATTGACTTTCAGTTGCTAGTCTGTTTAGCACGATAAATCTAAACTGTGATTTCAGCTGTATGAGAACATGAACATCTTCGCTCTTGATCTAGCTCAGAAACATTACAAAGTGACAAGCTAATGGCTTCTTTCTCATTTATTTTCAATGCAGTTCCATCAAGACCAACTTCTCCTGAAAAGTTTTCAGTGCCTCATCTCTGTGCCAGGTTTGGGCCTGGTGGTCAGCTAATTAAGGTGGTTCCAAACCTGCCTTCCGAAGGACAGCCTGCGCTAGTGGAGATCCATAGCATGGAGGTATTTCTGGGGGAGGGCCGCCCACCCTGGGTACACTGGGCATCATGCAGGGTGTAGGCTTCAGCCAGTCCTATCTCTGGATATAGGACTTGGAGGATGTTTTGTTCCTTTGAGCCTTCAGTTTGTAGGTAGCTATTCTGTCTGGTCCTCTTTTTCCTCTTAGAAGTCAGCATATTCACATCTCCTGACTTTGGGATTGTTTCTGTTAGTGGTGCTTTTCAGTAATGGGTGAGGCAGCAGGTGGGTGGGTACTACTGAGGTGTGGGAGGCTGAGGGGTGCTGAATCCCACAGCCCCACTCAGCCTCTTCTGTCACATGTATTGGGGTCCTGCCCTGGAGTTGTGGTAAGAAAAAAATGGATCTTGCTGCTTAAAATAATACTTGAAAGTCACAGCTGTAGCCCAGCCACAGGCGTGTTCTGTGCTCGACCTTGCCCGGGCCTTTGTCCTGCGTGGAGGGCAGCCAAACTCCCAGGGCAGCGTCTGTGCCTCCGTCCGTCTGTGTCCCCAGCAGATGTGCCTCAGCGGCTGCTGCATGCCAACCACACATCTGTGCCTCTCGTTGTAGACCTTGCTGCAGCACACATCTGATCAGGAGGAGATGCGGGCCTTCCCAGGACCCCTCGGCAAGTACGTCGCTGTCCAGGTGTTTCTTTGCTGGCCTGGCCATGCCGACGCCGCTGCTAACTGGTCATGTGTTCTTTCTGCAGAGACGACACCCATAAAGTGGATGTTATTAATTTTGCACAGAACAAAGCTACAAAGTGTTTGCAGAATGAAAATTTAATTGACAAGGAGTCTGCAAGTCTTCTTTGGAATTTTATTGTTCTTTTATGCAGACAGAATGGGGTATGTTTCTTTTTACTTCTGGAATGTTTCTTCTTGCTGGCTCTCAGTCTTGGGAGTCTTCAATCCCGGGAGGAGCTGGGCCAAGCCCATATGTTCAGTTGTGGGCAGCAGGCAGTGCTGTTATGGGGCTCCCTAGGAAGGACATCTCAGCAGTGATTTGGGGAGTTGCAGAGGAGAGAAGCTTGTGGCTTGGGGTGAGGTGAGGTGTTGGCCTGGCGTTGTCAGCCTTCCATGGAGCCTGTGGGTCTGTTTGTCAGGTCTCTGGCCATGTCCAGAGTGGGGCTCAAACACACACTCATCTCAGGAAAGCTGCTCAGGGTCCTCACCTGACCACTGTGGAGTATCTTGTCCCCATTGCTGGAGAGTCTGTTGTTAGAGCCTTTCCTTTCCTTCTTCCTGTCCCTGCCGGCTCTGCAGACTGTGGTGGGAACAGACATTGCAGAGCTTCTGCTTCGAGATCACAGGACAGTGTGGCTTCCTGGGAAGTCACCCAACGAGGCAAACCTGATTGACTTCACTAATGAGGCTGTGGAGCAGGTGGAGGAGGAGGAGTCCGGCGAGGCCCAACTCTCATTCCTTACTGACAATCAGCCAGTCAGTGCCAACTTGCTCGAGAAGGAGACTGAGCGGTTTCGGGAGCTGCTGCTGTATGGCCGGAAGAAGGTATGCCATCCTGCAACAAAGCTGGGTACCCACATGCTTACCCTGTCGGGCTTGGGTGCTGGGGTGCAGCAGCGAGGGAGAGCCTCCTCATGGAGTATCACCTGTGTGTAGAGCGGTGCTGGGGTCTTGCTGTTTCATGAAAGTTTCTGGCCCCCATGACATCCCTCTGAGTGTGTTAGTGTTGGTTTTCTTCAGAATACTGCCAGTGTCGAAGGCTTGTTGATTCCATTTTTAGTTAGATACATGGACGTATTGATCATGAGCTACATTCTGCCATGTGTGCTGAGTGTCAGATAAAAATGTGCACGAGACAAGTCCATCTTGTCCTCACAAAGCTGGGGTCAAGGTCACCACCCTTGAGTTGGCAGGGACTGGGAGTTGGATGTCATGAGCACCAGCTGGTCAGTGGGCCCATGACACCAAGGCCTTGGGCAGTGGAGAGTGGGCGCACACAGTGCCAGGGAGTGCACTCATCCGGGGGTGAACTGAGCTCAGTTCCCCACACAGGTGTGTGTACTGCGACATCCCCTCTGACTGTGCAGAGTGGAGAGGGAGGCTGAGACGGGAGCCTGCTCTGGGGCAGTAGGGAGCACAGAGTGATTCCAGCTGGGACAATATGTACATAGGAGGGGTTCGAGGGTACATGATGTCCAGCTGAGACAGTGTGTGTGTAGGACAGGGGTCTAGAGGTCGGTCGCATGGGCTTGTGTGACTGAACAGAGATGTCTGCCTGGCCCAGAATTCTCTGTGTATGTCATGATATACTCACAAAGGGCATGTTTGATCAGTATGATTTTAATACGCTATTTCACAACTGATTGAAATCATGCAACCTGTGAACATCTATCTCTATTGCAACATTGTTGCCTCCTTGCCAGAAGCTCTGAATTATACCCTAGGTGATTCTGGGTGGAGGGGTGGCTGTGGTCATGAGGCTACCATCCAGCCACCATCTATGGTGGGAAGATATTCCTGGAGACTTTATGTATCATCTGGAATTGGGGAGTCAGTGTTGCCGGGGCTTATCACAGTGGACAGGACAGTGTGGCTGGTGCTTCTTGGTTGTCCCTGTTTTTGATCAACGTGCTTGTTCTTTATGCTACAATGGATAAGTGCAGTGGACACCTACAAAGACCCACCGCCTTAGGAACTTTGAAACTAAGGAAAACAGCGAAATACTGGGTTTTATTTAAACTGAGAATAAGTATGTTTTCAAGGCCTTTGAGTCATGTGTCAGTCTGCTGTCAGTGCATGACAACACATGGTCCTTGGCCTCTGTCTGTTCACGTCCCAAGCAGTTCTGTAACCTACACACCACTGCATGCTTTCAGGATGCCTTGGAGTCTGCAATGAAGAATGGCTTGTGGGGACACGCTCTGCTGCTTGCCAGTAAGATGGACAGCCGGACACATGCCCGTGTCATGACTAGGTGAGGGTCTTC